CGGGTGGACTCCTCCCTTCCCCGTCGGCGGCCAAGTAGGTCCACCGGCACATAAACAATACAGCCCGTGCATTTCGACCCTTAGTGTGGTAACTAGGGTTCGCGCATTGGCTCTATCATGAACATAAGCTCACTAGCCGAAAATTCGTTATATTTCATCCGGACAGGAGGACACTTCACTCCAGAAAGAGGCCCCACTTACAGCCGATATAGTGAAGCAATTGTTGAAAGACTTTGGAGGTATATATAGTGTTTATTTTAGGTAAAGCACGTAAAAATATAAAGTGGACAAAAATAATTAAACCATAAGCAGCTTGTGGGACTGTCCGTGTTTCAATGATGGACCCGCTAGCATCTCTGGCGTTTACTTAACCGATAAGTCTGAAAAGAAAGAATAGGAAAAGTGCTAGCTCGCAAAGGAAGGTAAACTTGTCATACTGGGTATAAAAATTAGTTAGCTTGGCTAACCGTTAGCCGCTATTACGCCACCGACCTTTCACATGTTGAAGAAGTCTGTCGTATGCTTTTTTAAACATCCTTTAGAAGCACTGTTCAACCAACATTTGCGTCTCCCACTTACTGAAGGCTTCAGAGTAGCAGATGTTAAAGGAAGGCTGCATGACTTACCTATGACAGCACTGTAGACGTGATATCCAAAGAATGGCCGCTTACCCCGTTGTCGAACAAAGTGGATAAGTGATTCGTCATTTCAGCCGAACACAGGACGTGAAACACACGATGAACGAAGCTGCTTGGACAGTCGCCAATTACTGATGTCGGGTAGGCAGACTGGTAACGTACCTTTAATGGAACAGTTCAATAAACACTTATGTCAGTATTCAGTGTTTCATAGGGCCTGGGAAAATTCACCACTAGCCACATCTGCACTATTTTGGTTTGAGTTGGCCCTGAATGTACTGATGGCTAGGCTTTGTTTGCCTATAGTTGGGTTTAACACAGTTTTTTGTCACTATCGCCCGCTGTTTGTTTCACCTAGGTCTCCAACTTAACAACATTCGCCCGTCCATGCTTAGAGGTTTCTCGAAACGGACTGCCACACGATCCGCGGCTCTAGGATTGGCTTCAAGGAGGCATTCGATAGCGAACTACATCAAAGACTCTTACACAAACACAGCCAAATAGGTACTAGAGGAAATATCCTAAAGTTTATTTGAAGCTTCTTATTTTACCGCTCTCAATCTTTGTATTTCAGTGAACAGCAGTCGATTTAATTTGGGGTTGAGAGCAGTGTTTCCGAATTTTCCGTTTTTGGGCCCACACTGTGCATTACGAACGTCAACGACCACGTCCGCGAACTGGACCGTGATCTCGCTAGAATTGCCGATTATATTAGGCTTCGAAACAACATCAGAACTACAGCTGACAAAGAGCATCTGCAAGCCAAACTTAACCGAATTCAACCATGATTATTGGACTGGCTTTTGCCATTAAATAAGGACGAACTAGCCCACCCAGCTCTCAGAATCCCATGGTTTAATGCCCGGATAGCATCTAACTGCAAAAGTAAACGCGCAGGACTTGGGGATGTGGACCACGACCTCGCATAAACGTTCACTGCACTATTCAAAGGAGCCAAGTCGGTGATGCTCCTCTTGTACCTTGTCAAATGGGATTTTTTGTCCTCAATGAAGCATGCTTCGCTAAATTCTTTGGAACATTTGTGCGGATGAACCTGAATTTCGTGCTCCAAGCCTTGAGACCCTTAACCACGAAAGACCTCAGAGGCATGCAACCAAACATGTGACCGAACAGGGCTCATTCCTTACGAACAACACTTGCCTAATCTTGCTCTATTTCCTTTGAGTAACAGGCGGCTACGTAGTAACCTGATACAAACATTTCGTACTATGCGCGGTAACGGCTGCTGCCCAATAACTGGTAATTTCTTCGAGTAAGTAACAACTACTTGAGAGGTCCCCAATTCAATGTGTGTATATCGATGCATTTAACAGGTTTATACGTACTTTTACGAAGTTCGTGTTCTTGTTTGAGACCTTTGACTGTCTGAGGGCCTGATGCCAAGACTGCTTAACTGTCACAAGTCCTGCCATGGTGTCGTCAGTTGACCGGCTTTCCTTGCTGCCGCCTTATTTACGTTTCAGATGTTTCGAACAGCTGATCAAAATATGCGCAACTCGGCTGCGGATTACAACTCAATTGTTCAGTCATCTGATTAGAGACATCCTATTTCCATACTCGGAAGCTACCTAAAATATTCAGAGCTGATACTTAAAACCGGATACAAGATCTCAATGGTTTGATTTAGTGTTGACCGACTGTATAAATTCTCCAAGAATACCTTAATATTATGCATTGCATTTGCTATTGTTTCTCCTTGCTCAGTTTCAGATTGAACCCCCGCTTGTTAGTCTACATGAAAATAGGGACGCAAAAGAAGCGTTCGCTATTTGTCGTTGTGATTTGAAGAGACTTTTGATTTAATAGCCATGTTGGATTCAACCAGCAGGCTATATAGACCGTCAGCTAATGAAATCGAACGGATTAAGTTAGAAAAAACTTCCCGTCGGCGAAAAATGAGGATACAACAGGTTTGTTCATTAGTCTCATTTGCTGCGCACATAACCTGGTGCACCAAATGCACTTAATTGGTGCAATTAGTCTGTTGACTATAAAGTTAATCCGAAATGTTACCATTGCAATCTAATTTATTCGTGTTCCTTTTATGATTTATTTTTCTGTTAATTTAGGTTCGAAGTATGGCAATGGCTCACGCAGCTTATACCAGAAAACGCTACTTTGAGAAACAGCGCGCTGCTCTTACTAGAGTCGCATACGAACTTCAGAAAGAAAAAACCTGTGCCGATACATGCACCCTTCAAGCAAAGCAGGCGTTGTTGGATGAAGCTGTTCGGAAGCTTGGAGAGGGCCACAGAGAGGCTCGTTCATGGGTTAGCTTTGCTCTTTCCATATGTATTTGTACAACATATCGTATTTAGTAAAAACTTCGATTATGGAAAATTATAAACCCCCTATACACGCCTGCATCGTGTGAAATCTTACATTTAAAGTTACCTTGCTACGATCTGATTGTCTTTACTTGTCGGTGGTACCGCTATTTGCCGAAGGCTATCCGATATTTTACGCGTCACTGCCTGAGTCTCAGTTCATACTTCTCAAAATGTGATGCGACAGAGGCAACTGTGGACTTGTCTGAACAATCCTTGCAGACCTTAAATAAAAAGTTATTTATCAACCTCGCCAGGATGTTTCACGTGCGGTTGTTTCTTTTAGGCCACCTTTTTACAGCTTAGGTTATCGGTTAAATGTATGCCTGTTTAGAAGTTATCAACTTTCTAGTAACGTTATTGTCGATATGTTTCCAACCTTGGTTTGACTTCCACTGCTTATTCACACGCCATTGCCATTTTCATCTGTAGGAAGATCCGGCCAAAAATGAACAAAAAGAGGCTGAAAACCGGCAGTCAAAGGCAAATGAACGTTTTAATGCTGCTTTCCTGGAGCTCATGACAGACAAGGCTATTAAAGAATGGCAGGCTTCAGCTTCTGTTCGCTACCGAGCGGCTGCCTTAGAGACGGAAAAGCAACGTGCTGCTGCCGTCGCCGCCCTGCCTCCACCACCTCCACCGCCCTACTGTGATTCGGTAGTTACATGCAAGCTCCCGAACGAAATGGCATGCACACAATGCACAGGTACGTAATTATTCTGTCTTACTAAGGGAGACTATTTACCCACGTTCATTGAAATTAACCAGACTTTGCCTCACAGTAGTGTACCCCAATAGCATTTGTTCGAAGTGTAGTTCGAAGTATTTTATAATAAAAAAGCGCTAGTTAATGATATGATTGACGTTCGACGCATATTTTGATGCATGTCCCTAACATTATTTCCAATCCTTCATGCTAAGATAAAATTAAAGTCATTTTGATTATTTCCACCAATAAACCCCCCAAAAATTATACCCATCTTCTCTACAAGTCAGACTTTTCACCGTGTTGCCGTCGTTTTTGTTTCTAATCCTCTCTCCTAATTATCTGGAAAGGCTCAACTTTTGCCATGACCATCTTTACCCTAGCTCAGTAACAATATAGGCAACCACTTAAATATGCCTTTAATCGCACTAGTGAACCAGCTTTCTTCCAAATCTTCCTTATTTTTTCGACATTTTGCATAAAGCGCGAAGTAGTCTTTGTTCTGCCACCAGATAACTAGTAGGCTGGCGTTTACAAGCATAAATGTTGAGTTTGTGATGTCTTAGTTTTGTGTTACAGATGTCACGATATATCCAAATTTCAGTTCTTAGCTCAACTAACCGTATTTAATGCCCAGTAAGATATGGAATATTCTAACTCAAAAATTATCCCTATGTTTACTTCTACTGTCTGGGCCAAAAGTCATTGCTATTCGTCTTTAAGTAAATTCGTGTTGATGCAAGTTACATAAAGTTACAGGAAACGCATTGGCATTGGATACCGCAAATGTAAACACACAGAACATTTTCACCCTGCCGACATCCTCTGTTAACCTTGCGCCTTCCTATTTTTGATAACAATAGTCAACAAGAATGCAAAACCAAAAGAACCGTTGACTTTCGTTCCTTAAAACATATTTTCAGTGCAGTGGGTGACCCGATGTCAGTACAGTTTTTTGAACCGCCTTCACGCACATGCTCACACACGCCCCTCAAAGCTACCTCAGCCGACAGTTGTCTCCTGTTCATAGCAAAAGACTATTTTGCTGACTAGTGGTTATAATTGACATTCTTTTATACAGTAGGTTATTTGCACGCAAAGGTATTTTCCCTCTACTGCCAAAGTTTCATCTAGGTTAAAATTGGACGTTTTCCTGTTTGAATTTCGATTTCATGATTTTATGAAGCCGGTTTAATTCTTGTTATCCTTGCACTGTCATGGCAGGTCAGTCCTATCCGAAATAGGGCATAATCGAGAGACGAGTTAGCAGCACAACTGTGCAGTTTAACGAGTACCGAATTTATAAAGTCTCTGTCATTTTTTCGTTCCAGATCATGGGGCATTTTGTAAAAATCGCCGGCAGGCTGTGGAAGAATGTAAAACATAAGAGAAGATTATTCCTTTGAGGATGATACGTATCGTATGCAGTTCTACCTAAAGTCATGTTTGATGACGTTCTAATCCGTGATTTACAGTCGTCGCTTCTTACATTAAACAGGTGGTTCTGCTTTAGATTTTTCAACGGAACTTCGGAAGACGCAGTGAAAAAACCACGTCACTCTTTTAATTATTCGTCTAAAGTCTGCATTTTTCTGCCTTAATTTTCGAGAGCACCGGTGGAAAAATAGGGTTATGCAAACTGGTCATCAACAAATACCAGAGATATATGGTCTTCTTGTCCCACCCATTTCTCCACTGTCGTTTTATTAGAAAAGTTTTGGATTCCTCCTTCCACCACTGTTGTACATGTTTGCATTGTAAACCAAAAGACTAAGCTAATATTGCTTACAAAGTCACAGTTGGCAAGCACGCGTTTTTACTATTAATCATTAGGCTTGTGCTGACGCATATGTCATAGCGGAGGCCTCACTATGTATACTCAAAATGCACGTTTGCCGATTTCAACTTTTTGACTTGATTTAGTGATGGATTATTCGGATGGATTTCATAAGAACCTTAAGCGGTTATATCTTTGAGTCCATGACCTGTCACACGAGGATCGGCCAGTCGTTTGCGTAGTCTGTATTATTTTTTATAAATATTTTGCAGCGTATTATCATGGGGCGTTTCGCTGTTCAGACCGAACACAGTTAGAAACTATGCAAGGTCCTCGAACGATTTATTGCATTAAACGACTACGAAGTGTGCTTCTGTCTCAGAGTATAGCAGCGCTGTGTCATGCAGGAGACGCCAGCATTTAACTTGAAACCCTCTCAACAATCCCTCCAGTTATGGCCTGCTGTCCTTTTGTATATCATTCGTCATTGACAATTTCCGGTGATTCAACCGTTCACTTTAATTTACTTTAACTGTGCATTGTGTGATCCGAGTTTAAGCCCATCTTCTCACTTACAGGAGTCAAGGATGCTGACATGGTGCATAAGGTTTCTGTAAACGTCGTCGATGGTGACAAGAATTGTCTTTCTGGTCCACGTCCAATGTCGCCCCCACAAGTTATGAACGCCAAAATGCAGAGTTCTGAAACACCGCTAGAGGAACAGCCAACAGCTTTCGATGCAGCTGTTAAGGAAGAGGTCCGACTTAAAGCAGTGGAACAGGGGCGTTCAATCCAGGCTGTGGAAGATTTAGTTAAGGCGGAGGTCCGTGGCCAAACGGCAATTCAAAGGTAAGCCACTGTTTCCAACCTCGACTTTGTCTGCATCAGGTCTTGTGATTTTGTGTTATTTCTTGAACAGAACAGCGTTTAATTCGCCCTTAACAGTCTCTTAACGCATATCCTTCAATTTCTTCTCGTAGAGTTCGCGTTCAACAGCACTATGATTCACTTTTACGACGACTGGACGAAATCGCTAAAGTGGATTTTCGTGATCAAAAACGCCACATAGCGAGCTCTATGGCTCTCTATCCTGCCGCAGGTGAGGGCGCAGAGGCCGTTGAAAGAAAAAGAGAGCGTGCATTCGAGGTAAGACCTGCGGGTTATAGTTGAATTCTATCACAATCGTTTTTTAATGAAAATTTGAGAGCCTGCCATTTCTAAAATATGCTTCTGTACACAAGAATTGACAATCTGTATTTTTGAGCCAGTCGTTTTCCATGAAATCAGAGGATAACTGTATAACGTTGACGCAACCAATCAATAAAACACTAGCTAAATTACCGCCCGACGCCTGCGAAATGATACATGTACTTGGTACGGGTGTGATCAGACCTGATCTAGCGGGTCTCAATAATGTCACGGACGGTATCTCTCCACGTGTGTCGATTATCGGCATCGGATCTGGGCAGCTTCATCCATTCTCTTCTTCAGCGACGGGGACCGAAAACCGAAGGTCCAAGGGCCGCTTCTACATATTGACGAACAGGGTCGAGGCAAATCTTGAGCTTCCTTCCTTTTCGACGCCCCCATGTGGGCTGCGGCGCCGGATCAAGGTCAGCATAGCAAAGCTCGTGAGGTGGATGGCGCAAAACGTGCCCAAACCACCTGTCTTCTTTCTTGGATGGCCTGAAATATCCTCGCGATACTGTCGCAGCCAGTGTGGACTGTCTCTTTTGAGATGAGGTCGGTATATTTCACTAGCAGGATGGTCCTCAGGCAGCGGTTTGTCAAATACCTCGCGTTTTCGCTCATTTTCAACGCGCAAAGCCCAGCATTCATATCCATAGAGGAGGACTGAATGTGATAAGAGGATATCGGAATTCCGTACCGAGTGTTTCGTCAGTGCTTTCACTGGAACGGCTATATAAAAAAGCCCCATTATGCGTCCAGGTAAATTATCAGTAATTTCGTGTCAATTTTTGCAGCTGAAATTAAACCATGGTCGATTGTTAAATTGTCTGGGTCAGGGTGACTAATTTTGTCTGTCCGTAACCTGTTCCTGCTTTCTGTATACTCTAGACGCCTTCTAAGCTTTCGAGTTAAACACAGATGTAAGGTATCCTAGTAGATAGCTGCCGTCCCCAGTGGGATCTGTGCAGTTCGCTCTGGCCTTTGATTAACATATTTTAGAAATATAAACGTCAACTTAGTTTGCTTACCTTGGGACGTGTTAACTGTTTCATATAACTACCTAGGCTATTATTAATAATTTCGGTAAGAGTACCTCGTGAGGCCGCCTGGGGCGCTCGCTAATCGCGCCTATCGGTCTTACGGGCTCCTGATTTTAGGGGAGAGGACGAGCGGGACATGTCGGTGAACAAATTAGATCGCAATAATCCTGTAAAATAAAAATGTTACGAGGGTAAGTTGGGTCGCGTACTCAAACCTCGGGCG